GTAAGCTCTTGGCCTCCTTAGTTTGAGATTTGTGGTTTGCTTATTTATTTTAATTTACAACTATTTATATTTTTCCAAGTTTTGTAATCATAGGTTTTTTTTTTTTTTTTTTTTTTTAATTTTTGGCAGAACCAGGGATTGAATTCGGGCCCTTGAGCTTGTCTCCCCAGCCCCATAAGTGGATTTAATGATGAGTATTCCTTCCTTTTGTAAGTCATACCCAGTTTGGGCTTGAAGCAAGACATACATGCAGTCATCCTTTGGAGTCCAAAGGAGGTTGGTTGCTGAACTCTACCTCCACAGCAGCAAAGTCTGTGGGTTTATAACAAGTCTGTCATACAGGAATAGCATATTATTTGCATGTGGCCTGTGTGCATTCTCTGGTGTGCTTCAGACTATCTGTAGATTATGATACCTAACAGTGTGAAACCCACAGATCAAGAAAGCCTGCCGTACTTGATGGGCATAAGGATTAATTTTCTAGTTGTTGGTACTATGGACAGTGGCACTTTTAAATATGTTTTGTTTTCCCCTTTTATCCCTTCCTAAATATAGGAGCTGGTACATACACTACCTCTTCTTTAAGTACAAAGTCTACAACCACATCAGATCCTCCAAATATTTGTAAAGTGAAACCCCAGCAGTTACAGACAAGCAGCCTGCCTTCTGCAAGTCATTTTTCACAGTTGAGCTGTATGCCTTCCCTTATTGCCCAGCAGCAACAGAGTCCACAAGTTTATGTGTCTCAGTCTGCAGCAGGTAAGATTTTTAGGGTTGAGTATAAAGAATTTTGAAAGTGAACACTTAAAAATGTTTTAGCCCTTAAAGTTTAAGTATTTTTTTTATATCCTTTGTAAGTATGTCCACATACAAGGCTGAATCCTAGGGCTCTTGGCAGTTGTTTCCTGCAAATAATTATCAGACTGCTAAGAGCACATACTACACTTGATCTTAGCCAAAAGACCAAGAAAATATGAGTTATTTCTTGTATACTTATGACAAATTAGTATGTAATAGTTAGCAGAGTAATTTATACACAGGACACTGTTACAATCAAATAGCAAAACTTTTTGTTATTTGAAGTCTTAACAATATAACGAACTTCTTGAGTGAAGGAACAAAAAATAGTAGGGTGGCTTAGTGCCCTTCGCCGTCCCCCACTTGTGAGGCTGGGGCAGGAGAATCACAAGTTCAAAGCCAGCCTGAGCTTCGTAGCTTGATCTTATGTCAAATAACGAAAGAAAATTATATAGAGGGGTGAGCTAGCAGGTCCTGCTGAATATTGGTATTTCTCTGAAACATTTGTATTTAATCCCAATAATGACTTAAGTTCCAAGTAAAAACAGTATGTAAAGTGATATTATTACCTCTCATAGAAAGACTGATAATAACCGGCACTTACTGATACCTGCATTATTAACAATGCTTTAACTGTATACGTTGACATAATTCTTTCTGAACAATATCTTAGAGAATTTATGTGCACACACCAACTGTAATAACAGATTTGATATCAAGTAATTTTATAGACTTTAATAGTGTTCATTTGAATGTTGCTTATGATAATGTATCAATTAAAAATGATACAGGGTCTCTAATGTATTACATAAGTCACAAAAATAGTATGTGTTAATCTATCAGACTCATTTAAAAATGATTAATCATGAATTGCTTTGTAAAATTTTGCTACATTCTTGTATATAGATTTATGGTTGGATTAGATTTGCTAGTTCAATAAGATTTGTTTTGAATTTTTATGTGAAATTTTACCAATATGTTCGCAGTGACATTGTCTGAATGTCTATTACTTTATTATAGCCTCATTAGTACTAGAATTATACTGTTTTAGTTTACATGTACCTGTACTAGAAGCATTGTATCCTTTTGCATTTACATCATCTCACATGTCTAGTTTTTCTGTTGGTAGTGGTGTTTTCAGAGAACTTAAGGGCCAGGGAGATAGCTCAGTAGAATAAGCGCTTGCCTGGTAAGCACAGGGTTCTGAGTTCAATCCTAGGTACCACCAAAAATCAGAGAGCTTAATTAATTTGAAATTTATAAAACTTGGTTTTTGTTTACTATGTAAAAAGTTACAAAATTAGACATGACTGCTTATTTTTCCTAATGGTCTCCAGCTCAAATCCCAGCGTTCTACATGGACACAAGTCATTTATTTAATACCCAGCATGCACGATTGGCTCCACCGTCCTTGGCTCAGCAGCAAGGCTTCCAACCTGGTCTCTCTCAGGTAAATCTCAAAAGACTGCCTTGACCTTGTGTTTGTTTCTGGTTTATATTTGTTACACCTATTTTGGACTACAAATTACAGACTTTCAGAAGTTATAACCAACTCATGATTGTCTTGATAGGCTGGTAGCAAAATGTAAAACTTTTCCCCAATATACTAGAGCTTAGTAGTGTAAGTGATAGATTTTGACACTTACATTCTCATTTGCAAAAGACCTAGTTTCCTCTTTCTTGTTGCCTGTCTTTTGTTTTGCTCTTCAGTTATGAGTTTCTCTTATAAGAGAACTCCTGTGATATTTAAGCTTGTGGAAGGTAACCCACAGATGGAGGGATGAAAGCATGAAGATGTATTACGTACAAGTACTAGCTTCCTCTGACAAGTAGAAAAGGGAGTTGGTGTAGGCCATTACCTTTTATCCTTTTTTTGTCTCAGAATGTTACTTTTGAGTGTTATCACTTACAGGTAAGATGTTCATTAAATTTTTACAGAGGTGCTGTTTTCTTATTGCATTGCAGCCAGCTTCCGTGCAGCAGATCCCAATCCCTA